GACGCTTAACCGACCAAGCCAACCAGGCACCCCTCTCCAGCTCTTTTAAGGTGGGTTCTATCAGGGGACACTGAAGAAACACCAGAAACACCAGGAAAGTTTATTTACTCCCTTTGCCTCAGCTTCCTGAATACACGGTCTTTCGGCAAAGAAAGGATCACTCCCCCTTTGATGAGCACAAGATCTCAAACTGTAACTACTCATGAAAACAAGAATCAAGATTTTAAAAATAAAAAGGTGAGGTTTCTCAAAGAACAAGCTGCCTTTCCCTGGCAAATATTTAGATCCAATTCAAATATGTTTCCGAGCATCTTTCATTTGCAAAGGCCCTGTGCTTACGGATGCCAGACATCTATGTATCTTTCACAGCCAGCCAATGGGTCCCGAATCTGCATACCGCTCCATTCATCACTGGCAGATGTAATCCTTTCAGCACGTGCTTAACCAACTGAAAGTGTATCTCAGTCTTTCTTTGTCCTTCACGAGCTTCATGACATTTTTGAAGAGCTCAGCAAATGAGTACTGGATAAAATTCACATAATTGTACTGTGGTAACAGAATAGCATAACTTTCAGATACAACCACATCATGTTTGTAACTTACTCTCCAGTGTTTCAGAAAAAAACTTTAAAGGCAGTGACAGGAGAAGAGAGACTGATAAAGTTATGACTTTGATAAGATGGATCAAACATATGACATCTGGGGACTCCAGATAAAGAACATATGGTAACTCTTTGTACTGTTTTTAGAACTATTTTTAAAGTCCGAAATTACTTCGAAATAAAAAGTTAAAAAACAAATCTATGTCCTGACAAGAAGAATCCCAAAACTGGAAGGAAGATCCCAAAACTAAACTGGTATGTCACCTTTTCTATTTAAATGAGCCATTCAGGAGAAGAGGGAGGCAAATTTTGGAAGGTAATGTTACGGGGTCTCAAAGGGAGAAAAATGATAGGAAAAAAGTGTTTAAAATATGCTTCATTTTAAAAAAAGTAATATACTCACTGTCCAACCCAGGATGGCTGATTGTCATTAATGAGATGGATTTTGTCAATGGAGAAGAAATGGCTGATGTACAGTAATTAAATCCCTGTTGTTTAGATCTGGGACATGCCTGTGAAGTAAAAAAAAAAAAAAAAAAAAAAAAAAAAAAAAAAAAAAGTGAAAACCAGGATGTAAGCATATGCTCTTGTTATTTCTAGATCAGCACAAAACTTTACATCCCACCCCAACCTAAGAAAAGAACGCGGTGCAGGTGAGGGCTAACAGCACAGGCTCTGTGGTCAGACACCCTCGACTCAAGTCTGCCCCTGCTACTTGACCGCTGCTCAACTTCAAAGGAGCTACTTAGCTTTCATGAGCCTTAGTTTTATCTGGAATAATTCAAGTACCCATCCTTTACAGTGGTTTCCTATCCCTCCTAATACCTAATAATGTTTTAAACTTAGTACGTGCTTAGTAAACATCTGCTGAACACATCATCAGATGAAAGTAACTTCACTGTAAATAGCAAACTACATACAGTAGCTCTTGTTCTTTGAAAATCTAAGTCTCTTTTAGAGACATAGTAGAGAGCAGTAATATTATTCTGATTTTAAGCATGTTCTTTTTTATTTTTATTTTTTTTTTAATGTTTATTTATTTTTGAGAGAGGGAGGGAGACCCAGAATCTGAAGCAGGCTCCAGGCTCCGAGCTGTCAGCACAGCACCTGATGCGGGGCTTGAACTCATGGACCGCAAGGTCATGACCTTAGCCGAAGTCAGACACTCAACCGACTGAGCCACCCAGGCACCCCAGTATTATTCTGATTTTAAAGATTTGGAAACAGAGATGCAAATAAAAGGCGTTTTAAGATCAAGATCAAGGCAGCCATGCATCTGGGAAGAAGCCTAAAGCCCTTTCATTCCCTCTTCTAAGAGGACACTGCTTCTGCATGTACCCAGGGGGGACCGAGGGGGGCCAAGTTACCTCCCTCAGTGAATCTGCAGCAGCTTCGAGGTCGTGTAATGCAGCCAGCTGCAGAAGCTTGTGTAAGAACACCCCTGAGAGCCAGCCCAGCAGTGCTTACGAGCACACTTCTGGGGTGAGGGACTCCCCCTTCCTTTTGTTCTGAGCGCTCGTTCCTATTGTTAACCGATTTTAAACCGCCAGGAATCCCTCCCTTCTTAGTGGGCTGCAATCTGCACATGCTCGGAGGGGAGCAATGAAAATCCATTACTACCATGAACGCGACTCAAGTGCGCCAAAGACTTCTGATTATTCAGAGCCTGCTCCGTGCGTAACCATGGAGTCTGAGGCAAACAGTTGCTGTGTTTCGAACACAACTGTGAGGTCTGAGGAATGACCTCAGTGAAAGGCAGGGACCTTCAGCAGGAAGCTGGCTGCAGGCGACTTGTCCAGATCAGAGACACCAGCAGCTCAAATCCCCACTCTGAAGTTGCACACGAGACAAAAACTGCGGGTGAGCAGAGAGTTCCAGAAAAGCACGAACATGTCAGCAGCTTCCTCCACAAAGGCTCGATCAGAAAGGCCATTTCAGAAAGACTTCGGTGGTAAATGATAGCACTTACTAACACAGGGGGTCCTCTGTCCAATTCCTAGTTTCCAATTATCAGTTTCAGAAAAGGTTTTCCATAAACTGTATTGAGAAAATTAAAAATCTTCTCCTTTCCTCATAAAACACTTCTACTTCAGAGATGTGGAAAGAGGCTGTGAGACTTACACCGGGAATTCTGAGGGGAACGTGGTCCAGCTCACAGTCAGTCAATGACGCCTTAGGCAAGTCACTCAGGTGGGTGTGAAGCTGTCACCCCCGAGGGCTTACGCCGAATCCGAAGGGATATACTGGCTCCAAGCCCAGGATTCTGTTCACAAACCCCCAATGCTGGCATTTTACTGGGTCTTACAATGACTTCCAAAGGACTCTATATACTTTTGTATGACTTGCACTTTTGTTTTTTAGACTCTCCACTTACCAAAGATGCTCTCAGCAAGTCACGAAAGAATGGTTTTTTACTCCCTTTTTCTGTTACCATTAGGCTGAATACATTTAAATCATTTGCTTCAATAAATATGTTCTCCATATTTTTTAAAATTTATTTTTTGAAACGTTTACTGTTTTTTTTTAGTAATCTGTACACCCAACATGGGGCTTGAACTCATGACCCTGAGATCAAGAGTCAGATACTTTTCTGACTGAGCCAACCTGGTGCCCCTCTTCTCCATATTCTTGTTATTTTTCTTAACTTTAGAAAAAGTTAAAAAAGCATCAGGCCCAGAAGACATGGGCGGTGGGGGAAGGGGATAACATGGCAAAAATCCCTTTGGGCCTTCAATTTGATTTTCATCAGGCCTAAATTCTCCTGGGTCTTCACCTAAGTGATGCATTAAGGTAATCCTCCAGCATCCAGTTTCTATCTGGTCGTAGCATTTCTATGTAGTGGGTTATACAAAACATTAAACGTCTACGTAAAACCTATGTCTCCCACTCAGAGAACAGGCCGTTTAACATTTTTGTTGGTTTGTTTAATTAGAAATGTTTCATTACGTTTCTATCTAAAACTCCAGTCACCTATCCAAAGACAGGTGTTTAATTTTGTTGTCTGTTTAATTAGAAATGTTTTGGGGCACCTGGGTGGCTCAGTTAAGTGTCCGCTTCAGCTCAGGTCATGACCTCGCAGTTTGTGGGTTTGAGCCCCATGTTGGGCTCTGTGCTGACAGCTCGGAGCCTGGTGCCTGCTTCACATTCTGAGTCTCCTTCTCTCTCTGCTTGCACTCTGTCTCTCTCTCAAAAATAAATAAACGTTGAGAAAAATTAAAAAAAAAAAAAAACAAAAAAAAGAAAGAAAGAAAGAAAGGAAAGATTCAGGTTTATCACAGAATCCTCCCAGGAATCAATCCAAAGTCCCCTTGGCCCCGGAGGAGGAAAAGGGCCGGGAGCAGTGTGGGCTATAAAAGCAAGGAATTCCCATTCTCCAGGCCAACTCCCGAGGACCTGCCCCAGGTGACAAGTGCTGGGGAAATCACCTGACTGGCCAAGGACAGCCAGCTGGGGCCCCCAGAAGGGAGTCCTGGGGGAGTGGCAGTGCAAAGAGAGCATCAGGCGGGGGCACGGAGTGAAGATGCTCTCTGAGAAGTTCTCACAGTGACAGGAAGCAGAGAGAAAGACACAGCCATTTCCCAGGCAATGTGAGAAGGCAAAGAATAAGATCTATTTTTTCCAGGAAGGTATAGATTTTTGAAAAATTGGGAAATTTAACAATGCTGTGTAGCATACTTCAAGAGTCATTTTACTACTGGCATGGTGAAAGAAGTCCTCAGATAAGAAGGAAAAGCCCAATTTAATATCCTGGATACTTTCCTAATTTAAAAAAGTCTGCTTTGATGGACTATTCAAATCCATGCAGATGAATGGTATTCTGGAATTAGTTAAGTGCTAAAACCTTGCTTTGTGCTAGATGGGGTGTACTAGACCGTGGGTAAGCAATCACAATAACTAGCCTCATAGTAACGTAAGTCTTGCTTTCTTTGTTCCCGACGTGAAGACACATGTAGGGAAGTACAGTTCATTTTTCCAAATGAGCAGCATACACCCGCTTCAGCCTTACCTGCTGATCAAACATCCTGTGTTCTCTCTGGCCTGATTCCAGATCCTCTTCTGAAAGCGACATCAGAGAGTCACCCCTCGCCTCCCCACTGAAAGGGTGCCTGAGCTCTTTGGTGTTTGCAGAGTTTACGTCTAGAGATGAGGACGGCTTGTTTCCGACACCGGCTCCTCCTGTCAAGCCTTCTAGGCTGAAACTGAACACAGAGCAAAGGAGTTAATTCATGTGACTTCTGAGTCTCCGAAAGGGTGGAAGATACGAAAGTGCTTTGAGTGTTGCTGGCAGATTATTTCTAAGTTACCTAGCAAAGCTATCGACCAGAGCACGGCACAAATGAGCGCCACCTACCTGTCCCCCAACAGGTCTTGGTAGGCTGAAAAAGCATATGCACTTAGGTTTTCTTACCTCCTTCAATTTATTCAAATGTTGATCATGTAAGGTCATTTTCTCAAGATTTTTTTTTTCAATATACCATGTGGACAGACCAGATTATCTTATTTATCATTTATGTATGTGTGTTTTTCCTTGATCTGATGTAATTAATCTCTGCCAAAACCAAACTAGGCTAATGCCAAAGAATTCCATAGCACAGAGAAAACAGGTGCATGAGTAGCTCTCAGAAAACAGGCAGGGACACTCAGAATTGCCCTTGTGTCGCTTAAGTGGACCTTTATAACTTTACATTCAACTACAGGCCAGTCAACCTTTCTAATTTCACAGGCTCGTGTCGACCCCAGGAAGTCGGGATTACTTATGAGCAGTATCATCTGGGCACATGTGGCCACACAATCCCTGCCGGACAGGCTTCCTGGGAACTGCTGATTGCAGACGGGCACACAGGACACCTTAAAGAACAAAAGCTAAAAGCAACTATGTCTAAGAGCTTTAATTTTTTTGTCTTGATATTGGCCCAGAAAGGGGGCAAATTTAGGATATGGCATGTAGAATGGGATCCCTGGTGGGCAGATTTTGCGGTTTGCAGAGTGAAAAGCATTTTTTGGTAAGCAGGAAACTACAGAGAGAGGTTGGCCATCGATGAGCTTTGGGGTTGCTGGTCAGAATAATTCACATCTGGTACAGCTGTGGTGGGAACTTCTTTAAAATAAGCGAGATCTCAAAATACAGCCGGAGCAGACGGTGTTCTCACTCACAAGCAGTTGGAAGTGCACTTGAAGGTACACTGAAGCTATTTAGTTATCTCTGCTCCAACTGCACAGTTAATTCCACAAATGAATTGCGTATGCCAGTCCAGAAGGGCTTGCTTTTGCCTTTTTTTATTTCATAAATTACTTATTATGAACTGAAACCATATGCCTCTATTTTTCTCTAGTGGGTAATTTAAACAATGGACTTTGTTTTTCTTATTTCAATACGACAACAGAAACCATGATTAAGTAGAAGTAAATGTCTCTGTAAAACTCATTTTCAATAGCAGGGATAAGACAGGCTAAGTGAAGAAGAAACTTAGTTTTCTATTGTGAATTGTTTGTGAAGCCTGAGAAAACCAGATGTGTTATTACCACAACATTTAATCCTGAAAATGTTTCAGTAATTAAATCTGGCTGCTGAGTTGAGAGAAAAATATGAAACATTGAGGAATCTATGAATTTGGAACCTGAAGAGACTGACTTGGAAACACAACAAATAAAAATTCATCGTATTTGTGGCCTTGCTTCTGTCATGGTTTTCTTCAGGATGTGGGAATCCCCAGGTTCCGGGAACGAGGACAGACCAGAACAAAGAGAGAAGGGGTCTGCCATACTGTACATACAAGTCTGTGCGGAAAACACCAAATCTACAGCCACTTGAGACGCCAGAAGCATCAGAGTACACTAGCTGACTCCCGGGCTATACATACCCCTTCAATTGGATCAGTGATGCCCGCAGCAGCAGGAACTCAACATTGTGCTCACAGCCAAAGCGGGCTGCCATATGCATTCTAGCCACCCAGAAGCAAGCTCCCAGCCAAAAGCCCAGGTGCCGTATTTTACGATTCCCCCTTCGGTGGCTGGACACGTAACGATACCGTACCTTCTGTAATTAAAGTCAGCACTCAGGGCAGCAGAATATTGCACACCAGAAGGACACCAGCTCATACTGGGGATGACATCAAAGGCAGAAACAGAAATGGAGGGAGAAAAGAGCAAACAGGGATAGGATTACTGGGTTTGAAAAGACAGGCCACAGTTACAGACAGATGGATTTATTGGATTATCAAAAAATTAGGAACATAACATTGAGAATTTAGAAAAAGACACAAAAACCATGGAAACTTAAAACTGTGCTACTAATATCCCTCTAGACACTGTGTTGGAAAGGACTGTGGGAGTCTGTTACAGTGTAACAAGTCCGATTTGAAACCCAAGAATTCCTCCTGCTGGACTCTGAAAAAAAGAGCCCACTCTGCCCACAGATTCCTCCTCAGGTGTCCTCCAGGGCTGCAGCCTCTGCTGCTGGGGGGGGGGGTGGGGGGCACTCTCTCCACAAGCTCCACCACTCCCAGACCTCCTTGACCATGGCTATGATCCCTAACTGAACCAAACCCATCCTTGACAAAAAGGGACAATGACAAAGTGCACTGGGGTGGGGCTGAGTCACTGGTTTTCCTCAGATGTTTCTAGGAAGGGTCCGTCTAAGCCAGACACATTCTAAGTCTTTCATAATAATGATATCCCACCAATACTCACACCCACCTTTAACCCCTACTCACTAGGCTGTTAAGCACTGAAGGTAAACAGCTGTAACAAAGGCCACATTTCCTTGTATTTTAATGATAACTAAGGCGTTTACTTTCTTCAAAAGGAAAGGAATTCCATGGTACTAAGTTAAAAATGGGTCTTAATTTTAGGTTTGCAACCATTTTCCCCCACAAGATTAAAAAAAAAAAAAACAACCTCATCTGATCATCTACTTTGATTACCTTGGCACTGATATTTATTTTCAAGTGGGAGGGACAGAAAATCTAGGGTTGGAAATACCATGTAAATAGGACCAGGACAAAAAAAAAAAAACAAAAAAAAAACACAACTCAAAATACGAGGTACACTGTAAAGGGAGCTTCATCAGTACGTAAGGATTTTTGATGGACAAAAGCGATCATTTAAAAAGCACACTGCTACTATCTGGCATCTTAAGTTCTAAGTGACGTGCTTTTGATTTTGAAGGGGGGGGGGTTAACATTAACACCCACTCAGCTCCCTCTGGAATCTTGCAAATGGGAAGATCTGCAGACAGCAAAAACCCCTAACCTTGAATACACCTAATTAACAGTTTTCTTGACAAGTGCGGGTTTTTGATAGAGGAAAAGAGACGAGGAAAATGGTGGGAGAATAGAAGAGCTACCCCTAAAAGTAAATCTTTAAAATAAATATCTTAAAAATAATTTAAATAGTATAACACTTAAAACCCGATTAAATTAAAGTACAAAGCTCCCAAGGGCAGGAGCAGAAAGGAGAAATACGCATCTCAGAGATAGTTCCAGTCTGTGAAGTGGTATCAGAAAGACTTCTAATTTGCTCATGTGAGGGGAGCAAGCCTCCATATATCTTACAAACACGAGACTCAGAAGCCCATTCTCTGGCATTAACTTAATTTTGAATCTCCAAACTGTTAAGAAAAATTTTAAAATATCCAACTTATTGAAAACACCACATGGTAAATCAGCGACTGAACTGACATTATTGAATCATTCAAAAAACAAATCTTCTACAGATGTAAACATCCCTTTACTCTCAGAAAATGGTAACACTGTGAGAAAGCAGGATGAAACTGAGGCTGAAGAGAAAGGAGAGTGACAGGAGACAGCAAGAGGGACCTCACAGGGGTCCCGAGGCTCCGGGAGCCACAGACCTGCCCTGGCTTCTGGCAGGAAGCTCCTTTCACCAGAGTGTTCGGGGGCACCCTAAATCTCCTCATCCCTCCATCAGTGGAAGGGACATTTAATGGTTCTCTGGCCTTATTTTGAGATTTAGGAAATTCTAGATTAAAAAACCCCACAAATATCCTGTTCCCGCACCTGTGAACACTGGTAGGGATGTTTCAACTTGACTGGCTAAGGCATCATACAAAATTTTAAACTGTACTTCATGCTCTTCCTGCAGAAAAACGACTAAGGGTGAAGTGGGATCTGGCACCGTTACGAAGCTTCATCTGTCAGCTCACTGGGACCGCATCCAGCAACCTGTCACCCTCCACTGTCAGCACGTGCATGCTTTTAATAAGGTCACGCTGAAGAGCTTTAACGGAGAGCCAAACAGATCTCTAAAGGTTTCGGGTACCTCTACTGAAAAGGGTACTTGCCAACTTGTTCCCCTGGGAGAAAAACTTAACTGAGCCCTGATTACCGCAGATTCATGAGAGCATTTGTATTCGAACTCCATTTTGTGCCTGAAAGCCGGAATTAAAGGAAGCCCACCCTTGCAAAGACGACGGGGGAGGATCACTATGTGTGGCTTCCCGAGGACCAGCTTCGGTGGGGAGTTGAAAGTACCCCTGACACATGGCTCCCAATACGAGGGGCTACCTGCAATCTCGCCACAGTCTGTGGCTTTCTAAATCTTCTTCCTCAAACGGCGCAAGAATAGGTCACTATTGATGACTTCTGAACAAAGTAAAACTCAGCATTTGAAAAGCAAATCGGCACTGTGTGACTAGAAATGACTTTTCAGCTTATAAATTACTCATTTTTAGCTTCAAAATGTTACCTGACAAAAAATAAGTAAGGGACTGAAAGACTGCAAGGGCCCCGGAGAGATGAGCTGATGGCTCTTACCTGCTTTAAGAAACGACCACATCCCCAGAGGGGATGTGGACTCCCCAGAGGGGGAAAAATTATTAAAAAACAGAACATGACAAAACAAAAACAATGGTGTACAAGGTGTCAGGTGGCCTAGACATAAAGGCTTCCATCCAGTTACTAAGGAATGCATCGAAAATATGTTAGGGCCGGTGTGCCAGCACACAATTATTTCTGGTTCTTGGCCCTTTTGGGCGTTGGCGTGGGGGTGGGGAGAATGAAAAAGCACTCCTCAGGGACAACTGACGTGTCTTTGAACTCTCCTAGGGAGAACTGGGAAGACCCTATTATCAAAATCATCTGAACACAAGTACAAGATGGGGAAAAAAAAAACATTAAAAAAAAATTTTTTTAAGATAAAAGTAGAAAAGGAAAAAATTTCACATTCACGAAACCATTTCATATGCAACAGGCATCAGCGATGAACAAGTACCTATATCTTATTTCCCTGAAGCAGACATGACATTGTTTTAAAAGACGGTTTAATCACGGATTAAGCAAAATGAGATGCTGGTTAGTACACTAAGCTCAGAGGCAACATGGTTAGTCCATCAAGTTAGTGAACTCTGTACCTTCTCCTATGAATGGGGGGTCTCCTGACAACGTCCCCAAGAACTCGCAATGAACTGAAAATGAATGGTGGAAGAGGTCAGTGTCAAGGTGAAACAAAATGGACACAAATGCATGAAGCACACGGACATCACAAAGGGAAGAGACAATCCACACAGACAAACGGTACAGGAAGTGAGGGAATGAAAAACTGAGCAGTAAGAAACATCAGAACCAAAGAGGCCGGACAGCCTGACAAATCCTGGGGAGGGTTACTTTGCTCCCTCCCTCCTTCCTCCAAAGGGTTAATCAGGTGACAAGGAATGAGGTTTATTAAATTACAAAAGTAAAAGGATTAAAAAAGGCCATTTGAAGCTGTAAAAGGGTCTTCTTAAGACTTTAAAATTCAGCTTATACTCTATGCAGATAATGTGGTAAGCATCAAACTAATTCAAGTCATTCCATTATCTCCAGAGGCATGGTGGGGGGGGGGGGGGGGCGGAGGTGTGAGGTGATCCTTAAGGCGAGGCTCAAATAGGAAAGGCCATGATACTGTACAGGTTGAAAATAAAGATAACTGATAACGTTCCAGTCTTAGTTCAGTCTTGTAATCTCAGGCAAATCATTAGGTCTGAGCTTCAATTTCCTCATCTGGGCTACAGTCACAGTCCTATCCAGCCCTGAAATCAAAGTCAAGGCACAAGGGCCCCCAGTGGGCTATAAAGAAAAATGGATTGCATATAAAATAAACCCTTGTTTCTTGATGTTGTTATCATCTCTGACAATATGTCCTTCCATCCTTCCTTCCTTCCCTTCCTCCCTCCTTATTATTTATTTATTTATAATGGTATGGATGCTTTCTTTTTTTTTTTT